GGCACCAACATGCACTTTCACACTTGAGCCCTGCAGACACGCACTCATTCTCACCCGCTTGTTCCCCATCGTCATCCCCATTCACAACCACCTGCGCACCCTGCCACCCACAATCACACTGCGCACCCGCACACACACCCTGCCGCCTCACCCCCTGACATCCCGATCACACACCTGTACCCCCTACCACACTCGCCCCCCGTTGGTTCCCCCTCATCTACCCATCTGAATCTTAGGCCTCACACACGTGTGCCCCAGAATCACAACCGCACAGGGACATACGCCCTACCTCACTCCACTTTCAGTCCCCCTCATCCACCCTCACTCTCCCACCTGGATCCCTGGGAGTCACAATCACACACACGTGCACGCACTCAGTCACTCACACACATTCAAGCATGCTGAGAATCTCACACACACACCTGACTCCTCCACCCAGACCCACATCCACACTTACTTGCTCACGCACTTCCACACAGTGTCTAGGGTCCATTAACTTTCAAGGGCCTGCTAAAGCTTTAAGAACAGGAAGAAAATGAGTGGTGGTGACAGAAGGAAAAGTCAGGAGGGGGGAAATTAAAAATCTGTATGTAATTGAAGAGCCTTGAAGTGTAAAACCCTATAAACTAACCTGTAACTAAAGCAAAGTTTTAAGTAGTTACACCTAATATATTTCACGTGGAGTATGGGTGCCTTTTAATATGTTTGCTGTGAGCCACCAGGTATCTGAGCCTGAGACCTTGGATGAAGGAAAGCGGATCCCAAACGGAAAAGCGTGACTTATGTCCTGTCACAATGAAGTCCCCCAAGAAACGAAGCATACCATTAGAATTGCTGCATTGCACCTGGGAAGGGAAAATAGCGTTGTTTGGCTAACAGAGCCGGTCTGCTTTGCTTTCTGCTTTCTCTCCTGTCTGCCACAGTGCTGAGCACATGGGGTGGCACACAGTCAACACTCAATAAATGCTTGTTGAGTAGAGGAAATGGAGACACCTGGATGCTCTGATTGGGGCATCAAAGTAGGCCCCACCCTCTCCCACCTGCTCCCCTGGAAGTCCCCCTTAAGCCCCACCCACCTCACATCAGCTGCAAACCCCAGACACTTTTCTCCACTCCGTTCCCACACAGGCTGACAGAAAAGACCAGAGATTGTGACCCTTTGCTCCAAGCTCCCTGCGGCCCTTGTGGAACCCATCAGTGGCCACCATCATCAGACTGTGCTCACTTTTTCTAAAAGCTGGAATAAGAACAGTGGCTCTGTCATCAGAGATCCCACATCACTTTCTGAGACAACTTACAAACGGCCAGACCTCAGTGTCCTCATCTGTAAAGTGGGGATAGTGCCAGCCTCACGGGATTGTTGGAAGGTTGGGGCACCTGGGTGGCTCAGTCGATTAAGCGGCTGCCTTTAGCTTAGGTCATGATCCCAGGGTCCTGGGTTCGAGTCCCCCACTGGGCTCCCTGCTCAGCAGGAAGTCTGCTTCTCCCCTGCCTGCCACTCCCCCTGTTTGAGCTTCCTCTCGCCCTCTCTCTCTGTGTCAAATAAATAAAACCTTAAAAAAAAAAAAAGGATTGTTGGAAGATTTAAATGAGTTCATGGTAAATATAAAACAATTGGAAGGATGGCTACACAGAGGAAGCACTCTAATGCTCGTTATTACAGATTTGGAAGAGTTCAGTGCAGTCATGAGAACTGGGAAGCCCTCAGCTCAATGCATGCACGTGGTAATACTCGTGGAAGGGAAGCTCCTACAATTCCTCCTCCCCCAACTACTAGGAATATTTTTATTTTTCCCTGAAGAATGACCACCATAGTATTTGTCCATTGGTCATCTCTGGACAAAAAGATTCTAGGTAGATATTTAAAATATAGTTTATAGACTATTTTGGGGGGTAGTTTGGGATTTAGAGAAGACTTGAGCAGATAGTAGCAAGAGCTCCATACACCCACCCCATATCTACTCCACCTCACCCCCACCCCAAACTCAGCAGTCCCCTTGTTGTTAACATCTTGCATGAGGGTGGTCCATCCACGTGGATCTTATAATTTTCCCTATTTTTAATCTACTCTTTCTATTCTTTCTTTAGTAAACATGTATCACTTTTACAATGGTTTTACATAAATAATCATTTATTTTTTATTTTATCTTTTTAAAGTTTTTTTTTTTAAGTGATCTCTACACCCAACGTGAGGCTTAAACCCACGACCCCGAGATCAAGAGTCATATGCTCTTCCAACTGAACCAGTCAGGTGCCCCTAAATGAATAATTTTTTAAAAGACCAAGGAGCCCCCTCTTACTCTCCAGAGGTAATAACATTTTCATGTGAAAAGAGGGATGATTTTTATTGTTTTTGTATTTTCTCAATTTTTTTTTCAGTACAATTTTATAAGCATTGGAGAAGACACTTCTCAGAAGACTTCGAGCAATGCAATCTCAGGAAGAGAGGCACTTAAAAGCTTTTATCTCATCTTGAGAGAGATCTAGATGCACGAGGCAGGAGAGAGGCCCATGGGGCCTTTGAGCGCAGTGCTAAGGGCCAGGAGAAGAGCAGGGATAGGGCAGGGCAGTGATTGGCTGGGCGGGTAACTGGGGGTCCCACTCAGGAGGACACCACTTCTCTCCTCCTGGCCCGGCCTTGCCTTCTCCCCGTGGTCCTGGGAATGGTCACCTCGGGGTTCTGCTTGCAGTCTCATTCAGGGACTCTTGAGAGCCCTCTCCATCCAGCAGGCCCTGAGTATAGGAAGCTCCCGGAACTAACACTGGCAACAGAAAGGTCTTTAACAGAGAAGCCAACTTAGTCCAGCCCCTGCTTTCCAGAAAACACATACACTGAGGTGCACAGAGGCTGTCCAACCTCACCAACAGGTGGTAGGCTGAGGCAATGATCTATTTTGAGATCTCGGTACAGCCCACCTTGAAGCCTTGTTTACATCCATCTCCAAGCCGGCTCTTGCTGTTTCTAGCACGTTGGCAGTAAGTAGACAAGAGGTCAAGGGCATAGCACAGATGAAATGGAGGCATGGAACATGGGAACTCAAAATTATTATTACTTTTTTAAGATTTATTTATTTATGGGGCGCCTGGGTGGCTCAGTCGGTTAAGCGTCTGCCTTTGGCTCAGATCATGACCCCAGGGTCCTGGGCTCCAGCCCCGCATCAGGCTCCCTGCTGGGCGGGAAGCCTGCTTCTCCCTCTCCCACTCCCCCTGCTTGTGTTCCCTCTCTGGCTGTGTCTTTCTGTCAAATAAATAAATAAAATCTTTAAAAGAGAGAGAGAAAGAGAGCGAGCTTGATTGGGGGAGGGGCAGAGGGAGAGAGAGAGAGAGAGACTCTCAAGTAGACCCCCCCCTCCGCTAAGCATGGAGCCCAACATGGGGCTCAAACTCACGATCCTGAGATCATGACCCGAGCCTAAGTCAAGAGTCGTATGCTTAACCAACTGAGCCACCCAGGTGCCCCAGGAACTCAGAGTTATTACACATCTTTTGGGTAAACTCCAGCTGTGGGGAGAAGAAATGAAGTTCTTTGGGTGCCTGGAATATTCTCTCTGAATGATTTTGGGTGAATGCTCTAGGTGTTCCCTAGAGCAGAGTTGCTCAACCTGGGTGCTATTGACATTTGGACTGAATGATCCTTTATCCTGGGGGCTTTCCTGAGCATTGTAGGATGTTTATAGCAGTATCCCTGGTCTCTCTCCTCTACAAGCCAGCAGCAGGTCCCCTCCCCGCTCCCAGTTGTGACAACCACAGATGTCTTCAGATATTGTGAAATGTCCTGGAGGGCAAAATTGTCCTTGGTTGAGACCCACCAGGTTTGAATGTGAGGTTAAATAATTTTTAAACCTCTAGCAAAGCCGTGTCTCTAACACTAATCCCACCCTCCCGGTCCCATTTCCCGCCCCCCACCACATACACACAGACCCCTTTTTAAAAATAAGAACTCCTTAAGAGCTTTCCAGAAGCAACAGTATCTACCTAGGATTTAATAATACCATTTGGTTTGTATGGTACTATTTTTACCTCCAAAAAGACATAGGAAGTTTAGGGAACAATTCCACAGAACATTCATTCATTCAAGTTATCTTCACTGAGGACCTACAATGTTCAGCGTATTGGGGATACGGTTAACAGGCACATATAATCCCAGCTCCCTGGTGTCCAGGTTTCTGGAAGTTATTATCCAAGCTACCTGTGCCTTTCATTGTCTTTGAGCTATTTCACAACTCTGTTGAGAAACAACCATAATACACATGACTCTTGCCCATAGAAATGCAAATGAATTTTATCCAGTGGAATGCAAGTGATTATTGCCTTGTGGGTCCTGACTACATTTTCCACCTATTTGTAAATTCACTTCGATATTCCTGATTGCCTGCTTTTGGGGGGGGTGATTCTCCTTTGAATCGGCAGTAAATCTGTTAGTACGATCTTTGACACGTGTCCTTTTCTATTTGTAGGAGCCATGATTTCCCCTTTTTTAAATATTATGAGTAGATAGCAAATCAACAAGTAAACATTTTAAGAGTGCACAATGCCATG